ATGTTAGTTTAGGGTAATTCTCAAAACAGGTATACCTTGTGGTAGGTTTCATATTTTTTGGCCAAAATGCATTGCTCAAAAAAATTAAAGGAACACTTTTTAATCAGATTATAGCATTGTCAAGGTCCTACCTTTTCCCAGAGGTTATGTTACTTCATGTGCTAGCATCCATCTTGGATTTCTGCTGAGCATGATGGGAATCTTTTATGCCTTCAGGTCTCTGAGGTCCATCCCCCAGAGGGGTGTGGCTGAGTACATATAAGCCTGGGATCTGCACATGCTCTTTGCACTTGTGTCTTGTGTCTTTGTCTTGCTACAGCTCTGTGTATACGCTCGTGACTCTTCTGGTATTCTGACTCGGCTTGTGACTAAGACCATTCTCTGTGTTTCCCTTTGATCTGACCTTCCGTTGCTGAACCCGGCCCGTGACCTGTGATTCTCTGTCTACTGTTCTGTACTGTTTTGTCCCGTTGTTATTGACCCGGCTTGTCTGACTACGCTATTGTCATTCTCACCAGCTACACGCCATTGGCGGCGGCCATTACCGCAGCTGGGGTGTCTCGGGGGCCGCGACCTGGTCCCTGGTTGCGTCAAGTCCATCCCCACCATCAGGGGCCCTGGTGAAGGGCAGCCTGGGACTTAGACTCCGCGCCCTGAGGGACTTCAGTCTGTTGGTGGTGGTTGTCGTCAGCCAGTGCGTTACCCTGCCACTAGGCCTACCTGTCCGTTCCACAGCCCTGCCCTGACAAGCATCAAGTCAATCAAACTCGTGGGATATTGATATGGTCAGTTAAGTAGCAGAGGGGGATGTTAATCAGTTTCAGCTGCTTTGGTGTTAATGAAATTAACGACAGGTGCACTAGATGGCAATAATAAGATGACCCCCAAAATAGGAATGGTTTTACAGGTGGAGAACACTGACATTTTTTTCCCTACTCATCTTTTCTGACTGTTTTTCACTAGTTTTGCATTTGGCTAGGGTTAGTGTCACTACTGGTAGCAGGAGGTGATACCTGGACCCTACAGAGGTTGCACAGGCAGCCCAATTTCTTCATGATGGCACGTTAATACGTGCCATTGCCAGAAGGTTTGCTGTGTCTCCCAGCACAGTCTCAATAGCATGGAGGAGATTCCAGGAGACAGGCAGTTACTCTAGGAGAGCTGGACAGGGTCGTATATGGTCTTTAACCCATCAGCAGGACTGGTATCTGCTCCTTTGTGCAAGGATGAACAGGATGAGCACTGCCAAAGCCCTACAAAATGACCTCCAGCAGGCCACTGGTGTGAATATGTCTGACCAAACAATCAGAAACAGACTTCATGAGGGTGGCCTTAGAGGCGTCCTCTAGTGGGCCCTGTGCTCACTGCCCGGCACCATAGAGCTCAATTGGCATACACCAGAATTGGCAGGTCCACCACTGGCACTCTGTGTTTTTCACAGATGAGAGCAGGTTCACCCTGAGCACATGTGACAGACGTGAAAGGGTCTGGAGAAGCCGTGGAGAACATTATGCTGCCTGTTGCATTGTTCAGCATGACCAATTTGGTAGTGGATCAGTTATAGTCTGGGGAGGCATAGCCATGGAGGGTTGCACAGACCTATACAGGCTAGACAATGGCTCCCTGACTGCCATTAGGTATCGTAATGAAATCCGTGGACCTATTATCAGACTCTACGCTGGTGCAGTGGGTCCTGGGTTCATCCTGGTGCACGACAATGTCCAGCCTCATGTGGTGAGAGTATGCAGGCAGTTCCTGGAGGATGAAGGGATTGATACCATTGAATGACCCCCATGCTCTCCTGACCTAAATCCAATAGAAAACCTCTGGTATATCATGTTTCGGTCCATCCAACACCGCCAGGTAGCACCTCAAACTGTCCAGGAGCTCAGTGATGCCCTGGTCCAGATCTGGGAGGAAATACCCCAGGACATCATCCGTCATCTCATTAGGAGCCTTCCCCGGCTTTGTCAGGCATGCATACAAGGACGTGGGGGCCATACCAACTACTGAGTACCATTTTGAGTTGCTGCAATAACATTTCAGCAAAATGGACTAGCCTGCTGCATCATTTTTTCACTTTGGTTTTCGGGGTGTCTTCAATTTCAGTCATCTGTAGGTTGGTCATTTTAATTTATGTCAAACGATGGGGCATCCTTACGTTCCTAACACATTACCCAGTCCTTATCTGTATAGATATCCAGCATGATATTTTCCCGCATTGAGATCTGATGTGTTTTCAAAGCGTACCTTTAATTTTTTTGAGCAGTGTATAATTCCTTACTGGTTAAAACTTTAAAGCACTGATGACTTTGAATACACTTTTTACTTTCATATATTTATTTTCTGATGGTTCCCCTGGGTCAGTGGGAAGAATGCTCCTTACAGCTTAAGAGATCATTTGTGTCAGTGATTACTTATCTGAGAGACAGATATTGTTTATTGTTTAAGGCACCCTAGCAAGCTTGGATCATTTCTAGAGTTCTACAGAATCCTGGTCAAGAAAGGCTGCTCTAAGGGATACATTGCATCCACTGATCAGCCATTTTAGCATGCATTGCCCAACACAGTTCCAAAGTATATTCAAGGAAGCTTGAACATGTGTCATTTTTGCACAGCACATTCCGGTGCACTATAGTGCACTGCAACGTGCAGCCACACATTGAACTATCTGAAGTGTCAGGTTAAATAAAATTTTTAAAAAAGGAAAAAAATCAAGCACTGTGATGTGTTTTACAGTGCATCACAGTGCCCATGCACAACACAATCCAGTATGCATTATGCGCACCTTAACGCACACATGCTGGTGTGAATCAGCCCCTAGCCAAAAATAACAGGTTTAAAGATGTTGATACAATTATACATTTTCTACAAATAGGAGAATATTAGCACACATTGTGTGTGTGTGTGATATTAGCAGCTTTTCACACACAGAGCTAAACTGCATTTTCAGTTTGCTAGTCATTTAGACCTCATGCACACTGACTTAGCCTGATGCATGGGGCTCCAGTATTTAGCTGTGACTGGGGTCCAGCCCTGCTGCTGACAGCCTGTCAAAGTGCAAAGCCGGCCATACTAGGTCGAAATCCAAAAGAATTTTCTTTAGAAATTTTTTTCTAAGAATTTTCGTTCAAATTTTATTTATTTTCGCACCATTAGTGGGTCACAGAAACGGCTGATTTTCGGGTGGCCATCAAATTTGAGTGATCGAGCATGTTGGAAATTTTTTGAAAAAGGGACAAATTTCGAATCAATGATGATCAATGATGAGAATTGTGCAAAAATTATGGGCAGCACAGTGGCTAAATGGTTAGCACTTCTGCCTGGCAGTAATAGGGTTGTTGGTTGATTCCCAGTCATGGCACCTCCTGCCTGGAGTTTGCATGTTTCTCCCTGTGTCTGCGTGGGTTTCCTCTGGTTTCCTCCCACACTCCAAAGACATGCTGGTAGGTGAATTGGATCCTGTCTAAATTGGCTCTAGTATGTGTATGAACAATTTTAGGGACCTTAGATTGTACACCGCTTGAGGGTTAGGGACTAACTAGAAAATCTGAAATTTCACAGCTCATGCTCGTTTCTTTTTTGTTTATTTATTTATTTAGGTACTTATATAGTGCGTCAATTTACGCTGCGCTTTACATATATATTGCGTAAATTGACGGCACTATATAAGTACCTTAAATAAATAAATAAACAAAAAAGAAACAAGCATGAGCTGTGAAATTTCAGATTTTCTAAAGAAAATTAGTTCGGAATTTGACCCATGTATAGCCTGCATTAGACAGGCTGAAAGCTGCTGCAGCTAGGTGGTGCACCTAGCAGTACTTACGTTTAAGGCGGTATGCACCCACAAACCAATGTTCGAAACGCAAACTGCTTGCATTCCCTGAGCTGAACTTTTTTCCTGGTGTCCAGTATGTTCACAGAAAGGCTTAAATTTCTATAGACACTAACAGGACTAGGTCATGTGGTCAGAAAAGCAACACCACTATATTCTGAAATGTTCTGTTATTGCTCGCACTTAATCAAGCATGCATTTTGATTTCTAGTTGTTTTACAAGGGCGTGATTGTTGATTTGATTGATTGCTGCTTGTTTGAATACTGACCATAAAATTACAGTTAATGATAATCCATGAAGTGTGTAAATAAGCAATTAAGTGAATTGTAATTTTGTTTGACTTCATGTTTAGAAAAATGTAAACAGAAAACAAATAGCATTTTTTAACCAAATGTTCATTTAATGTTAGGCATATCACACACATATGATCTTTTTCAATAAAGCGTTCACATTCACAATTGGAGTAGCCCGCAGTGACCAATCAGAATTCATTCTGCTGAAATAGATCAGTACAAGATGCTATATTTCTCTATGGATTATGTAGTATGGACTATGAGAATTGTATAATTACTATTATTACAGGTACTTATATAGCGCATCAATTTATGCAGAGCTTTACATATTGTACATTTACATCACCCAGTAACCCTCAAGGCTCATACAATCTAAGCTTACATTCATACATACACATACTAGGGCCAATTTAGAGAGTATGCAAAATTGTTGCTGTAACTGCTTATAAAATGTGATCTGGAGTTTTGCTTTCAATATGTTAGTGTATCTAAATCTGCTAGCACATCTAACACTATCCTCCCCCCAGACTGACAATGATATTACCCAAAGGTGTCACTGTTGCTCATTCATCCAGTGTGGGGACACTTCAATACAGGAGGTGTGCTACTGGCCTGATAACCAGGTGAAAACAGAGGAGAAAGGCCTTAAAAAAAGAAAACGAATGCAGCCTCTACATCTAATGATAGGTAAGCTGCAAAATATAACTTTTTTGCTTTTGAGTTTAACCGCTTTTCTGCTGCCCTATAGAAGAAATACTGCGGCAGGACTTTGTAAAATCATGTATATATACGTGATTTTGCATTTCAGGTAGGGGAAGCGCGCCGCTATTGGTGGCCTCAGCTGTTGATCACCGGGTCTCGGCTGGTGATTCCCCGCTGGCACCCAGCGATCGCCGAGTATCACTGATGGGGGAGAGACTTGTATGTAAACAATACAAATCTCTCCTCTGTCAGCTCCTGCACATTGCTGACACAGTGAAAGACACATACAGTACACTGTAAAACAGCACACAGTTAACCCTTTGATCACCCATTCCTGCCCAGTGCCTTTAGTAAGGTGTTAGTGCTTTTTATTAGCACTGATCACTGTGATAGTGTCACTAGGGATGTTAGTGACAGTTAATCAGTTCCCCCCAGTGTCAGAATGCCCCCCGCAGTCCCACAGTCGCTGATCGCCGCCATTACTAGTATTAAAAAAAAAATTCCAGTATATATACTGCCATTTGTAGATGCTATAACTTTCACGTAAACCAATTAATGTGCACGTATTGGAATTTTCTTTTAGCAAAGACATGTAGCAGAATACAATTTGGCTTACTATTTATGATGAAATTTGATTCTTGAAAAATTTTTTACTGGACATGTTTAATAGCAAAAAGTCAAAAAATATTTTTTCTCAAAATTGTCTTTTTTTTGTTTATAGCGCAAAAATTAAAAAACACACAGGCAATCAAATACCACTGAAAGAACGCTCCATTTGTAGGAAAAAAGACATAAATTTAATTTGGATGCAACGTTGCATGACCGCGCAATTGTCAGTTAAAGTAGCGCAGCATCATATCCCAAAAAATAGCCTGTTCAGGAAGGGGTTAAAACCTCTGGAGTGCAAATGGTTAATACCACTTTAAGTAGTGGATGTGTATGCATTATATTTGGAGAATAAAGATCTCATTTAAAGTCATATTAAGAATTAGCAGAATAATGAATAAGAATAGTGGTGTAATAGGCTTGCTCAGCATAGTAGTGCAATAAACATGTATAATATACAAATACTGTAACTGAAAAATAATCACCGTACTCCAGTAACGTGAAATCTAGTGAATAAGTCCATGACCATGTACAGAAAACATGATTAACATTGATGAGATGGTCTTAAAAAAAAGACTGCTGTGATTGTTATTTTGTGCTGTCCTGATAAAAGCTGTTTGCAATAGTTCACAAAATGGAATCTGGCTGTTGGAACTTGTTCCTCTTACAGGCTCACCTCTCCCACTGCTGTTCTGTGGGAGCTGTCACACCCAGCTATGCAATGCAGCTCCAGGGTGTGGAAAACAGCAGGAGCGTTTTCTTTGTCTAGGATCTGCATTTCTCATCACTGAACACCAGAGAGCCCCTAACATTCCAGGCACACTCACTGATCACTGTCCTTAGATAGAATATATAACTGCTACACAAAGTGTATGATTCATTAAAGTTTCAATAAATATCTTTAGATTTCACTCAGCAGTCAATGTGGGTTTCTAAAACTGACAAATAATAAAATATCACTTCCTTGCATTATGTCAGACCGAGGACACCATTCATGAACAGAATGCCCCCAGATGTATTACTTTATACTGCTGTGATTGTCTCACTGCTTAGCCCAGAAGTCTGTACAGCTGGATGTCAGATTAAAGATATCCTCTGCAATTGGATTTTATATTACGGTGTGAGATTTTCTAAAGCTCTGCATGGCTAAGAGTACAGATGGTACTTTTTTCATGTTGCAACCCTGATATTGCCCAAGTGCAGATAAGTAGGCAAACCTTTGAGTAAGAACATGTGTAGCACTCCTAGATGTGAGTCGTAGCCACGTCACCTGCTAATGGCCTACAGCCAAAGAGTACGCCTGGCCTACCTCAGGATTAAGGCAGTGCCCCCTCATATAGCATGATATACCTGTTCCTTCACCATGGTCGTCCTTCATTCCGCAGAGATGGCGGGCAGTACCTATGCCTACCCTTTTAATTCAGTGCTCAGGCACAGGTTCCATCTTCATCCAGCCTTTGGAAACATTGGAAATCACACATTAACTTGCTAATGAGGCCTTGTAAACACCCATGCTCCTGGCTTCATCTATTGGGGTTTTCGTCCAGCAGCTGAGGTGTATTAAATGGGTGTACAGTTAGAGTGCAGGACGCCTGGGCAACCTTTCCAGCTTACTGCTACTGACATCTTCCTTCACTAAGACACTGCACATTCCCAATCAAATTGGTTAAATAACTCTTTTGTTCTATACACTCTTATAAAGAACCACTGACCAATCCAGTATATATGAGGTCCCCTCTGTATCTCCTGGCTGACTGCAGGCACACAGCAAACTAAACCCCATTTTGATGCTTATGATCTTCCAAACACATTAAAGCAGAACTTAACTGAATCTGAGCATCACAAACTGAAAAGCTACTGAATTCATTTTTAATATTCAAAGTAAACTCACCTATCTGTCTATGTCTCCATGCTTTATCTTGTTGAGACAAACACTGTCCAAGCATTTCTAGTGGTGGCCATCTTGATTAAGGGCAGATTATTCATGTATAATTTGTGGAATTGATCTATCCTTAGATCAGGCATGCAGCCAGGAGAAGCTGCTTAGCTAAAGACCTTATTAATTAGTTCATTATCTCTATACAATTGTCTTTTTTTATTTTCTCTACATGCTATGTTTCCAGATTATCCACTGTTTTTACATTTCCCCTATTATTTTATAGCTGTGTATTATACAGTTTATATATATATATATATATATATATATATATATATATGATCGTTTATTACATATTTAATGATACAGTATGTATTTCGGCATTTTGTTATTATTGCTAATAATTTTTAAAATAGGGTTTTTTTTTATACATGGTCTAATACATTGTTTTATATGCATGTATTCCCATTTAGAATACTATATATATGCTCTATTGTCAAATTATAGTCAGTTTGCGGTTTTTTTACCCCATATTGTAGCACGCTGTATGTAAAGCAATATCTCCCAGCATGTAGTATCATTGATCGACCAATTACCGCACCAACTCCACCCTCTATTACTCCCATATATGACCATCTGAACGTCTTGGGCGCTAGGCCTGAGGAAGGAGCAACAGCTCATGCTCTGAAACGCGTTACCGTCCCCTTGATGTCTCTTCCGGTTGCACTCCAGCATGGCTCCGGAAGCTCCTGGTGGCCACTGAACGCTCGGCAACACTGCTCGGTGCACAGCTTGAGGACTGAATCTCCCACAGGAGGAATTAAGCAGCAATTTATGGGACTAACAAGCCTTTTCTCATCATGCTTTTGTAAGTGTGTTTTACCTTTTTGTCAGAATAAAGTATCTTGCTTACTGCACTTACAAGTGCCTCCTTTCTCTCCTCTCTTCTGTTAGAGCTTTGGCTTCTCTGTTATGGTGTGCTGCTGCAAGCGCATAACCAACACCTATATATCATTTTCACATGGATGCCTAGTTATTGGTATACTACCTATTGGATGTGGATGACCTCCTACACCAGAGCGCCCTAAACATTTTCTCCATTAGCTAATAAAGCCCCTCTTCCTCTCCTCCAGCTGAAAGAAAAAAATGCCCATGGGATATATGTTACTTTGGCAGAGGTCAGATACCAGGAAGCAATTGAAGGAATGTAGCAAAAGGTTAAAACAAGTAAGCATAATACACCTTCCTATCTGTTTACTAATGCTAGCAGCATAAGAATGAAAAATGTTCATTGAAAGAGTTTGGCTCCACTTTAACCAGACATTTCATGCTTTCAATGCTTTACTAGTTTTGTTAACTATATACAGAGCAAATTACAGTGTGGCTTCTTCAGGGTTACAGTCCATAATTTGAGTAAAACAATGACCAACAAAATATGGCACACTTTGCAAAAATGAATGTTCAGTTCTTACACATATTGTCTTAACTTTCAGGACAATATGCATATTAGGGTGAGTGCTGCACTGCTCATGATACTGCTCTAAAGTAAATTCTCAAAATGGTCTCATTTCCCACTTTCTCTCTGACTACAGGCCTGAGGCCCACATGTATCTGCCCAAAGGGAACACACTTATATACAGTATGTCCCTTTGGTAGCTACATCTTCCTGTTCTCTGTCACTGCTCTCAAGAATGTTCCTCTACAGACAGTCTTGGGAGGTTCTGCCGTGTCACTGAGTGGAGGGTGCCCCAAATTGGGTAAAGTCTCTGCATTCACCCCTCACATATCACTGCTGCTACCTTGAGTCTTTAACGGGCAGACTCAATGAACCACTTGGTCTTTTTCTGCTGTCGCTTTTCTATGTTTCTATGTTTTGCTCTGCTTCCTGTGTGAGACCCCTTGGATCCTCCAACCAGGTCCTTGTATAACCTCAACTCCTGGGCAGGATGATCCATAAAAGAAGCCTTACAGAATGGCACAAGGGAAAAACCAGGGCAAACAGTGACATCTCATGGTACTGCTGCAGAAATACTATCAGAAACAGTATATGTATCAGACACTAACACCCTGTTTCATGTGGTTCGAAGAGCACCAGTTTTTTCAGAACACAGAATGGCTATTTGTATAAAAATTAAACTGCCTGGAGGTGGGGTTTTTTTTTTTCCAACGACAAAACTGGAATTTTTAAGGTTTGTCTGTTCCATACCGCAGATTCCAGATCATAACAAGAGATCAGGAACTGTTTGTAACATCTTAGTCACTGTGCTGTGAGTGTACATTGGGTTCATTTTCAGCACAGAAACATTAGCTGCCATGGACACATATATGTGGTGTGGGGGTGTTAATGCCCACTCACCTTGGTGCTGCACATATGCATTACGTGATTGACAAGAAGTTCATAGTAATAAAATAAGCTTAAAAATAATGGTAAGAATGGGATACATAACCAGGGGCGGACTAACTATTCAAGCACTCTGGCACTGCCTGAGGTCAGTAGGGGGCCCCATGAGATGCCCCTGGTACCTTTCATTGTTTTTTTCATAGGCTTTTTTGGTGTGGGCATGGACACGGGGGCCCCATGATCTCATATTGCCTGGGAGTCCCATGAGTTGTCAGTCTGCCCCTGTACATAACACAATATAGCAACAGTAGTTTGCCCATAGACATAAAAGGATGTGCAGGAAAAAAGAGTTGGCTCCCTTTAAGTGCAGTATAAAAGCTTTTTGATGAATAAAAAGTGTAGTAATTCAGGCCACACACAAAGTATAAGTAGGTTTGCGCTTGTAAATTAATAAGCATCCGCTGTAGTGAA